TATCAACCTTTCAGCTGGCAAGATTTACTTCAGCTGGTGGGTTAACCTGCTGTGCTAAAGAAATGAAAATGTTTCAGCCAAGTTTGTCAATATGGTCTAGTCCATAGAAGTCCCCAAGTTTTGAACAAAATGGGTTCTGTAGGTTTGTTCTTAAGTTGAATTTGTATGTAAGTTGGAACAGGTACATTTTAAACTGTAAACTTTAGGCACAAATAAGTATTTTTTAAACTTTGGATAATGTAGGGAAGAGTTAACACTAGGCTTAGTAGTTTCTTTTGACCACTCTAGCTTCTTCTATTTGTTCTGGTGCGCATAACAGGAAGGGGTCGGCCATCACAGATTTCCATCCAAAACGTGACCATGTGGCAGCCGATCTCGACTCTTCCTCCCCTATTTGGCACCACAATTTAATCTTTTTATTTTCCTTTATTTTCTTGATTTTTTTTTTAATTTAGTGGGACTGACTGGAAGTTGGGGACGTGCGGGGACGGAGTGGAGTGCACGTGTACAATTGGGAGCTTGGGAGAATCAGCCTTTTAGCTGTTTTTCTCTTCTCTTCTCTCTTTCAAATACTTCTAAAAGATAATAATAATTATTATTAATCCCAGCAAACAAAAAGAAAACCCTCATTCTCTGAAAACTACCACCACCTAGTTACCTCTCCTCTAGAAGAGAAAGTAAAAACAGCTTTAAGGAAGCATTAAACCAGGACTGAAGTGTACCTACACCAGACAGGGCCTGCAGTAAAGGGAAAAAAGCTTTTTAAAAGGATGCCCATAGAGATAGCTCCAGGTCAATTGTTCTTTCTTCCCTGGGAAGTGGGAAGCCTCCTTAAAAGCACTGGAAAGCTGCTGCAGGGAGAGAACGCATTCATGGCTGCAGCCTGTCTCCTCTAGTGTAGAAAGAATCACCTTTAATGAAGCATTAAACTCAGTCTCCTCTACAGGCATTGCTGACAACAGGTTTCCTTGAAGGAAAAAAGGAAAGGGTCCCAGAAATCGAAAGGGGAGCCTCGTAAGTTCCCCATTGCTACCAACGGGCCAGATCTAGCTGCAGTTTTCGGCTACAGACTGAAAACAGCTATCCAGCTACCCACCCATTTTTGGGAGTTGTCTGTAAACGGGCATGGGGGTCTACTGGTATCTGGCCAGCAGAAACAGATTGAGGTTTAGACAAAATGCACAAGTCTAGTTAACATCCTTGTGATTTTTGTTTTGCTGGTTGTGCCCCTGTTCAGAAGATGTCACTTTCTGGCACTGTGATAACTGGTTTTTGAAAAATTTGGCTTGTTGTGGAAACAAGGCTTAGTGATAAAGCTTCTGATGAGGCTCATGATACCTCTTTCAGGAGTGAAATTCTCTTTTGAGGGGTAGATTTCTCTCACTTCCTGTTGTTTCACCCCGATTCTTAATTATGAATTGATTCTAAGTATGATGTTTGTAACTTGACGGCTATTTATATTTCAAATGACATTGAAACTGCAACTCCCTGTCACATATGTATTAGGTATAACTATGTTTGTTCATGCGTTACCCTCTGCCTGATGGCCACGCCAACTGGGACTAATAAGTTGTCGCCCAACTTATCTAAGGTGCACCAAGTTGAACAAAGCTGCTTCATATTGCCATTTCCAAATATTTATTTATTTACGACATTTATATGCCGCCCTTCTCACCCCGAAGGGGACTCAGAGCGGTTTACAAGATATATATACATATAATATATTATGTTACTAGCATAGTACAATATCAGTATTAAATATTACTATATTGTACTATGTGAAGATACAGTGAAGACATCTGCCCTTGCGCTGTGCTACTCTGCTGCTGAGTATGCATGCCCAGTGTGGAACACATCTCACCACACTAAAACAGTGGATGTAGCTCTTAATGAGACATGTCGAATTATCACGGGGTGTCTGCGCCCTACACCACTGGAGAAATTACACTGCTTAGCTGGTATTGCACCACCTGACATCCGCCGGGAAGTAGCAGCCAATAGTGAAAGGACCAAGGCAGAGACATCTCCAGCTCATCCCCTAATTGGGTATCAGTCAGCATATCAACGACTTAAATTTAGAAATAGTTTTCTGAGATCTACAGAGACACTCGCTGGAACACCTCAGCAAGCAAGAGTCCAAAAGTGGCAGGCTCAAAACCAGAGCCTCAAGCAATGGCTGATACCAAACGAGAGACTCCCTCCTGGGCACACAGAGGACTGGGCGACTTGGAAGGCGCTGAACAGACTGCGCTCTGGCACCACAAGATGCAGAGCCAACCTCCAGAAATGGGGCTACAGAGTGGAATCCTCGACATGCGAGTGCGAAGAAGAGCAAACCACAGACCACCTGCTGCAATGCAACCTGAGCCCTGCCACATGCACAATGGAGGACCTTCTTGCAGCAATACCAGAAGCACTCCAAGTGGCCAGATACTGGTCAGAAGACATTTGATCAACTACCAAACTCACAAATTTTGTATTTTGTCTTTTTGTTTGCTTTGTTCTGTTAGAAATGTAATATAAGTGGCTGGTTGCCCTGACACGACAAATAAATAAAATATTGTACTATATCATTATATTGTAATATTATTAGTAATATTACATGTAATATAAATATATAATTATAATATCATATTATTATTAGTATTATATTATTAGTATTATATTGCATTACATTATAATATTAAAATATAAACTCATTTGGATTACCACTACAGAGCTGCTGAAGGCAATGAAAAGAGAAAATAATAAAAATTGTAGGAAAAAGTAAAGGGTTCAAAGTTTCTGAAGTGGTGATTTTTTTAAAAAAACCTATCCCTTTAGCACTGATCAATATGGAGAAGGAGCGTGCTTGGGAAGGAAAGAAACATTAAACATCATCCGTGTTGGGGGTTCGGGAAAATACAATAAAAAGAATGGCAAAAGGGACACTTTGCATGTTTATTCGTTTATTTTTCCACATAATTTTTGTCATCACTGCTCCCAGCAAAAAAAAAATCCAAAGTTACATTACCTCTGTTCTCTAGAAATGAGTTAGATGCATATTGCCAACATAATGGTGCAAATACTCAGGTCCTGCTGGATCATTTTTTCTCCTAACTAGCTCCGCCACTGCCCAAATCCATCAACTAAGGTCACATTACTGTCACATCTGTCATTTTGCATTGCAGTACTGTAATAATGAATCTGATGCGGCAACAGAAAAGCAGACACAGAGCGGTGTTACCCTGCCAGATCATTTTCTCCTGGACTTTCCAAATCCATCAATTTGGATCTACCATAGCCCATATCAACTTGCTTTTGTTAATTGAATAGTGTCATAAATCTGGTAGTTCTTGCTATGGCAGTGAGCACAGTCTATCCAGATCCCCAAACATGCTCTCAAGAGCACTGTATTTGGGACTTAAACTCCCAGAAGCCCTAGCTAGCTTGTCCAATTGTCAGAATTGCATTGGATGACCAAAGGAGTCCTAGAAAAGCATCCTCTCTAGAAATCTCTAGGTCTTCCAGTATGACTGGAGGAAACTGACAAGAATCATACTGGAAGACCTAGACAGAACATAGTAATCAAATCCATCAATACCCAACAAATGTGCAAAACTTAAATGTGGAGGGACAATTATAGTGGTATCACTGTGCAGCAAGAAAGGACCACCTATCATGCATCAGGTGAGACATTCAGAGCAGTGATTCCTGGACTATGGATTATCTTGTTTTAAGATAATTTTCCAGTGGTCAAACATTGTTGTTTTTGGGTTGCTGTGAGTTTTCCGGGCAGTATGGCCATGTTCCAGAAGAATTCTCTCCTGACAATTCACCCAAAACTATGGCAGGCATCCTTAGAGGTTGTGAGGTCTGTTGTGAGGTTTATATATCTGTGGAATGTCCAGGGTGGGAGAAAAAAACCCCTCTTGCTTGTTTGAGGTACGTGTGAATGTTGCAATTGGCCATCTTGGTTAGCATTGAATGGCTTTGCAGCTTCAAAACCTGGCTACTTCCTCCCTTGAGGGATCCTTTGTTGGGAGGTGTTAGCTGGTTCTGATTGATCCTTGTCTGTAATTCCCCTGTTTCTTTAGTGTAGTTCTTTATTTACTGTCCTGATTTTAGAGTTTTTGAATACTGGTAGCCGGATTTTGTTAATTTTCATGGCTTTCTCCTTTCTGTTGAAGTTGTCCACGTGCTTGTGGATTTCCATGGCTTCTCTGTGTTGTTTTTATAACTTGCAAAGGATGTGTTGAGAAGAGCCCTTCTCCTATGTGTTGCGTTAATCACTAAAATGGAGATGTTTTGTGATCAGAGGGAGGCAGACCAATGTGACATTCCTTTCTCCCACGTGTGCAAATGACACAGCAAGAGGATAACTTGGCCATTGCCTCTAGACCATGGCCATACAGCCCGAAAAAACCTAAAACAAACCAACTTGGCCATTGCTAATATCAGAGGTCATTAAACAATCCAACTGGAAACAGTGCTGGCAGGGGCGGCTGGTCCATTACGCGAAGTAAGCGGTCGCAGAACACTTTTTTTTGCCAGGGGCGCAGAGGCGCCTCTGTAAATGCCCCTCGACCACCAGTTGAGGAGCGCCCCTCAGCTCACAACAGCCCTAGCAGTCCGGGGGGAGCCTCGGCTTTCTTTCCTCACTGCCAGGCGATCCTCTGTCTCTCTCTCTCTCTCTTGGTCCCAATGGCTGAGGAGAAAGTCAGGAGAAGAGGTGACTTTTGGTGCACATGCTGGGGGTCTTCAGGCATGCCTCCAGACCCAAAACAGGCCAGGCAAAGGAGCAAGCACAGCAAGTGTAGTTACTGGGATGTATAGTTCACCTACAATCAAAGAGCATTCTGAACTCCACCAATGAAGGAATTGAACCAAATATGGCACACAGAACTCCCACGACAAACAGAAAATATATATCAATGATTGGTTGGGGGGGGGGGAAATACTGTTTGCTTACCGTTGAAAATTACCTAGGGCCGCCTCTGAGTGCTGGGATATGTTAATATTAATTTTTTTGAGAGAATAACTGGAAGGATACCAAGTTAGAATTATGAATCAAAGACACGGCAGGCTCCTTTATGCATATGAGCTTGGAACTCACATCCATGACTTAATCATTTCATTTCTAAACAGCTCACAACAACACCCCAGCTCGATATTTGGAAAGACCCGATCCAGATGCCACACCATCGCGGCATCTACGTTCCCAGACACAGGCAGGGCAGGGCGCCTGCTGAATCTTCCTGAAAAGTTTTTTCCTCCCATTCACATTCTCCACATCGGCTGTCTAAATAAAGAACCAGGACATTGGTTATCCATCTGCTGCGGACCACAAAAATCCCAAGAATGATGCATCACAGTAGAGAGAAAATAGCCTGAACTGCAGTGATTTTGCTGGCTTCTCCTGGTGGTTTGTGAAAACTGCAACCTATCATCTAGCATTTCCGTTGATTCATTTTCCAAAGTGAGGGCATCCTGACAGTTCATATTTGCAAAAGCACAGGAGGGAGTAAACAGAAGAGATCTCTCTGAGATGCCAAGGTTTGCTCATGCCCACCCACTTTCCTTTCTTCCTTCTCTCTTTTTATTGCAGTGACAGGAGATAACAGTCGATGGGATAATGCTAACAGGGTGGATGATATTACAGTGGGCCCTTGGCATCCACTGGGGTTTTTGTACCCCTGTGGATACCAAAATGGGTGGATGCTCAAGTTCCATGTCACACAATGGCATTGTGAAATGCTTTTCCCTTCTATAAAATGACAAAAACAAAGTTTGATTTTTGGAATTTTATTTGAATACTAGTCATCCCCTGCCATGTGATGCTATGGCCCAGTCTGTGTATGTGTACTTTGTGTGTATATATGTTTGTGTATATGTGTATATATGTGCGTTTGCATATATATGTGTGTGTGTGTGTGGTTTTCCGCATGCGTTGTAATTATTTTTATTTTTTGGCTTTTTAAGTCTCTTCTGTTGTGTTTTTCAGTGTTTTTATGAGTGATAGTCACTTGTTGCCCTGATAGGTATATTGTGTCCAAATTTGGTGTCAATTCGTCCAGTGGTTTTTGAGTTATTTTAATCCCACAAACGAACATTACATTTTTATTTATATAGACTAACCGTCCCCTGCCACGCATTGTGTATATGTGTTTTGTGTGTGTATATTTGTGTATATGTGTATACATATGTGTTTGCGTGTATATATGTGGTTTTGTGCATGCATTGTAATGTATTTTTTGTTTTTTGGCTTTATAAGTCTCTTCTGCTGTCTTTTTCAGTGTTTTATGAATGATGGTCACTCATTAGCTTGATAGGCGTATTCTGTCCAAATTTGGTGTCCATTTAACCACTGGTTTTTGAGTTCTGTTAATCCTACAAACGAACATTACATTTTTCTTTATATGCTAGCCGTCCCCTGCCACGCGTTGCTGTGGCCCAGTCTGGTGATCTGGAATATAAAGTAATCAGAAAGTGTTGATTTGTAATATATGTAATGTCTTTATGCTTGAGGGTAAACAGTATTTCTTGCTGTTTCTTTCTCAGTGTTGATGTGGAGATTGTCTGGTTTGCCTACTCTGGAACATGCAACATATAATTGTCCTTCTTCAGGGGTCCCTTTCAAATCTAGGATACTATCTCTCTCTATCTGTGTGTGTGAATCATATATATATATATATATATATATATATATATATATATATATATATATATATATATATGGCTGGATGGCTGTCAGGAGGGCTTTGATTACGTTTTCTTGCCCCGGTGAAGGGAATTGGACTGGATGGCCTTAAGTATTTTCTGTTGGTCATGGGGATTCAGTGTGGGAAGTTTGGCCCAATTCTGTCGTTTGTGGGGTTCAGAATGCTCTTTGATTGTAGGTGAACTATAAATCCCAGTAACGACAACTCCCAAATGTCAAGGTCTATTTCCCCCAAACTCCATCTGTGTTTGTATTTGGGCATATGGAATATTCGTGCCAAGTTTGGTCCAGATCCATCATTGTTTGAGTCCACAGTGCTCTCTGGATGTAGGTAAACCATAACTCCAAAACTCAAGGTCAATGCCCACCAAACTCTTCTACAGTTTTCTGTTGGTCTTGGAAGTCCTGTGTGCCAAGTTTGGTTCAATTCCTTCGTTAGTGGAGTTCAGAATGCTCTTTGATTGTAGGTGAACTATAAATCCCAGCAATTACAACTCTGAACTGACAAAATCAATTTTTTTGAGTGATGGTCACTCCTTCGGTTAGTAGGTGTCTTGTGGCCAAATTTGGCAGCAATTCATCCAATTGTTTTTGAGTTATCCCAAAAACGAACATTACATTTTTATTTATATAGAAGATACTAGCTGTCCCCTGCCATCCGTTGCTATGGCCCAGTCTGTGTCTATGTGTTTTGTGTGTGTATATATGTGTATATGTCTGGATATATATTTGTGTATATATGTGGTTTTGTGCATGTGTTGTAATATATCTTTTTTATTTTTATTTTTGGCTTTTTAAGTTTCTTCCCCTGTGCTTTTCAGTGTTTTCATGAGCGATGGTCACTCATTGGTCTGTAAGGGGTGTAGTGTCCAAATCTGGTGTGAATTCGTCCAGTGTTTTTTGAGTTATGTTAATCCCACAAACGAACATTACATTTTTATTTATATAGAAGATCTATATAAATTAAAATGTAATGTTCGTTTGTGGGATTAACAGAACTCAAAAACCACTAAACAAATTGACACCAAATTTGGACACAAGACACCTAACAACCCAATGTATGTCCTTCACTCAAAAGAATTGATTTTGTCATTTGGGAGTTGTAGTTGCTGGGATTTATAGTTCACCTACAATCAAAGAGCATTCTGAACCCTACCAACGATGGAATTGAACCAGACTTGGCACACAGTTCTCCCATGACCAACAGAAAATACTGGAAAGGTTTGGTGGGCAGTGTCCCTTGGTTTTGGAGTTGTAGTTCACCTACCTCTAGAGATCACTGTGGACTCAAACAATGATGGATGTGGACCAAACTCTACATGAATACTCAATATGCCCAAATGTGAACACTGGTGGAGTTTTAGGAAAATAGAATCTTGACATTTGGGAGTTGTAGTTGCTGGGATTTATAGTTCACCTACAATCACAAAGCATACTGAACCCCAGCAATGATAGAATTGGGCCAAACCTCCCACACAGAACCCCCATGTGGGCCACAGGAATGCGTGGCAGGGGACAGCGAGTGTATACACACACACACACACACACACACACACACACACACACACCACTTTGCCTCATTTTCAAACAAGTCTCTGAGGGCCCGTCAACACAACCCTATATCCCAGAATATAAAGGCAGAAAATCCCACAATATCTGAGTGTGGACTCTGTGCTGTCACGTGCTGGGCCTATGACAATGTCTGTCAGGATGTGCTTTCTGTATGCCCAACGGGACGCCAGGGTGCCTCAGCTAAAGGGTCCCATAGGTTTCCCAACACAAAGTTCTGTAGAGGCTCAAAATAGGTTCAACAAAGTTCATTATTAAGACTTAAATCTTTGAACAAATGAATTAAATGCTTTATAATCTTGAAATACTGGTAGCTTTCTCGATCTGCCGACAAGGGACAGGCAACTGCTTGATAAACTGTTCCTATCTTCTTTAGGAAAACCTTTTGACCCCTCCTTGGGCAATCTTTCTTTACCCTGCTGGCGTGAGGCCCCAACTCCTGGCTCCGAGCTGTATTATGGATAGCCCGAGTGGTCCCTTACCAGGCAATGGTTGCTGTAGATCTGCCAAGCTGATGTCCTGTAGATTTGCCCCATGAAGGCTGTGGAGCCATTTCTTTATTTTCCAGCAAAGCTGGTTGTATTCCCCCAGCAAAGCTGTGGAATTGTAACTTTACTCCCCAGCAAAGCTGTAGAGGTTTTCCTTTTTCCCCAGCAAAAGCTGTAAGAAGTGAAGCTTTTTGCAGGTGGGACAGAAAGCCCACACATCCTGCTATAAGACTCCAAACGTGTGAAAAAGATCTTGGAGTCCTCGTGGACAACAAGTTAAACATGAGCCAACAATGTGATGTGGTGGCAAAAAAAGCCAATGGGATTTTGGCCTGCATCAATAGGAGCATAGTGTCTAGATCTAGGGAAGTAATTGTACCCCTCTATTCCGCTTTGGTTAGACCACACCTGGAATATTGTGTCCAATTCTGGGCACCACAATTCAAGAGAGATATTGACAAGCTGGAATGTGTCCAGAGGAGGGCGACTAAAATGATCAAGGGTCTGGAGAACAAGCCCTACGAGGAGCGGCTTAAGGAACTGGGCATGTTTAGCCTGAAGAAGAGAAGGCTGAGAGGAGATATGATAGCCATGTATAAATATGTGAGAGGAAGCCACAGGGAGGAGGGAGCAAGCTTGTTTTCTGCTTCCTGGAGACTAGGACGCGGAAACAATGGCTTCAAACTACATTCCATCTGAACATGAGAAAGAACTTCCTGACTGTGAGAAACCGTTCAGCAGTGGAACTCTCTGCCCCGGAGTGTGGTGGAGGCTCCTTCTTTGGAAGCTTTTAAACAGAGGCTGGATGGCCATCTGTCAGGGGTGATTTGAATGCAATATTCCTGCTTCTTGGCAGGGGGTTGGACTGGATGGCCCATGAGGTCTCTTCCAACTCTTTGATTCTATGATTCTATGAAACTGTGTGACTGAACTAAAAGTCCCCTTTTCCCTCCTAGCCTGGGGAAAGGGGCGGATCTAAAGGCTCTGATTGATAGGTTGTTGGCCCTATGACTGCAACCTGGGGAAAGCTACCCAATTGCAAAATGCATGGCCTAAACGGATTCATGCAAACTAACAGTGCAAGAAAAAGAAATTCAAATCTCCTAGCACAGCCGTGCCAGCACAGACTCTGATAACTCAGTTCAAAGCAGATATTGTGGGATTTTCTGCCTTGATCTTCTGGGATACAGGGCTGTGTGGAAGGGCCCCCAGGAAGGATGCTTGGCATAGATGTAGCGGACAAGTCAAGAGAGAACTGAGACTGGGATATGGCCATACAGCCCGAAAAACTCACAGCAAACCAGTGATTCCGGCCATGAAAGCCTTGGACACCACATTCTCCATCCATCCCCTCCCTCTCTGTTTGCCTACCTGGGAACCAAAGGAAGAGGAGGAGGAAAGCCACGCCCCCCCCCCCCCCTCTTTCCAGGCAAGTTGAAGGAAGCCCCAGAAAGCCTGGGAAAGGAGGAAGAAGAGGGGAGAAGGAAGAGCCGGGTCTCACCTGCCGGCGGCGCCGCCTCTCAAGACGGAGGCGGAGTTTTGGGGGTGTCTTTGGAGGGAGGCGAGGAGCAGCCCCCTCCGCCCCCTCCCCGTCCAGCGGTGGAAAGGGGGAAGGACTGGGCGGCGCTTCCGACAGCTCCGAAGAGAAGGATCCAGGGAAGCCAGAGCCTCCGACAGCCCTTCTCTCCCTCTCTCGCCTCCAAGTTCCAGGCATCGCCCCGCCTCGACCAAGTTGGAGAGGAATTTGGGGATCGGATTGAGTTTGCAGAGTGAAGAGGCGACGCCTCTCCTTTTGCCTTCGGAGAGGAAACGCGACCTTCTTCGGACCGGATCGGCCCCCAGCCCTATTCGGAACCCTTCCCACCCTCGTCCCTGCCCTAGTTCGGGTCAAAGCCTGTTCACACGTGCCGGAGAGGAAGAGGGAAACCCAACGCGATGCTGGGCTTCGAAGGAGCGAGTCAATGGGGGGAGCAAGGCGAGCGAGGCGCGGGGAATGTATTGTGGAGCAGCGCCCCCTAGCCGCCGGAGAAGGATATAGGCCAAGCCGCGGAAAGAGGAGAAGAAGGCGAGGAAGGAAGGAAGCAAAGGGAGAAGCAAGCAAGCCAGCGGGCAAGTTCAGCCTTGTCCGGGCGAGACACGAGGGGCTCCCTTTGACTTCGCGTGGCATCCTACAAAGGTAAAATTCCCCCCAGGAAAGTGGATAAGAGGGGTTAGGGGTGGGAAGAGAGAACATCACTGCTTTGCCTTTCAACTCAGACGGCTGGTTTGTTTTGAATCTCTTTTTCCTCCTTTCCTTGTGAATGTGCATCTCGACGGCGTCGAATGAATGCAGTTGGAATCCAAGCTCATTAGCTTCCTATGCTTCTCTCATCAAACGGGATTCATCACGATTCCGTAGCGTCGAGCCGTGGCTGCTTAAAGCGGTGTCAAACTGCATTCTCTCGGCACTGTAGATGCACCTTTAGGGACCCCCGGATCCGCTTTGATGCCTGAGTTCACACGACGCAGCTTCAGATAGACACAGTTTTGGAGTTTTTCAAGGGAGTGTGATCTGGTTGGGGGGGGGGGGGGGAAATCTGCCTTTTTTCTTTCTTCGCCTCTTTCAACATTGCTAGACAAAATGTCATATGAACTGGATTATATGGCAGTGTAGACTCATACCAGATAATTCGGATTATATGGCAGTATAGGAAAGGCTTCAGTCTTCAATTCCCCCTTCGGCGCTTGATTGGATCAACAACCGCCTTTTATCCCAGATTATCTGGCAGTGTAGACTCACATAATCCGGTTCAAATTGGATAATCTGGGGCCCTTTCCACACAGCTGTATAACTTCCACATTGAACTGGATTATATAGCATTGTGAGCTCAGATAACCCAGATCAAAGCAGATCTTGTGGATCATCTGGCTTGATATTCTGGATTATATGAACTGGATTATAGAGCTCAGATAGCCCAGTTTAAAGTGGATTATATTGCTCAGATAACCCAGTTCAAAGCAGATCCTATGGATCATCTGTCTTGATATTCTGGATTATATGAACTGGATTATATAGCTCAGATAACCCAGTTCAAAGCAGATCTTGTGGATCATCTGTCTTGATATTCTGGATTATATGGACTGAATTATATAGCTCAGATAACCCAGTTCAAAGCAGATCTTGTGGATCATCTGGCTTGATATTTTGGATTACATGAACTGGATTATATAGCTCAGATAACTCAGTTCAAAGCAGATCTTGTGGATCATCTGTCTAGATATTCTGGATTATATGAACTGGATTATATTGTTCAGATAATCCAGTTCAAAGCAGATCCTGTGGATTATCTGTCATGATATTCTGGATTATATAGCTCAGATAACCCAGTTCAAAGCAGATCTTGTGGATCATCTGTCTTGATATTCTGGATTATATGAACTGGATTATATAGTTCAGATAACCCAGTTCAAAGCAGATCTTGTGGCTTATCTGCCTTGATATTCTGGATTATATGGCTGTGTGGAAGTCTCCTGGGATATAGGGCAGTGTAGATCCAGGCTATCACTGTCCTGGAATAAAAACACAATAGAGGGAGGTGTGGATGAGTTTCAAAACCCAAATCCGATCCACAAAGGTCAACTTTTCCCCAGTGTATGTTTGTGGGGGTGGATTGAATGGCATGGGAGAAAACCCAGACCTGCCTCTGGTACCTGAAGAGGGCTGTTTCTATTGGCTTCGGAACAGCCTCATCTATTGGGATGTACACAAAGTGTCAAAGGGTGATTCTCCTATTGTAGAATGAATGCAGTTGGGACACTCATTGCCAAGGGATTCTGGGAGTTGTAGTGGTGCCTACCCCTTCAGCCTTCTCTTGTAAGGAGGCACACCAAACTACAGATCCCATGATGTCATAACGTTGAGCCATATGGCAGTGAAAGTGATGTCAACATTGCATTGATTCCAAGACAGGCATGGGCCAACTTGGACCTTTCCTCCAGGCTTTTTGGACTCCGACTCCCACCATTCCTAACAACCTTAATTCCTTGTTAATTCCTAACAAGCCGCTTAAGCGGCTGAGAGAGAAAAGGAAAGGGCCTGAGGCTGTTAGGAATGGTGGGAGTCGGAGTCCAAAACTCCTGGAGGATCCAAGTTGGCCCATGCCTGTTCTAAGGTGTAGTGAGAGTGAGAAATCCGAGTAAATCTCCTTTCAGATTTGCCTGGATTGGCTTTGCTTTTGAAATAAATAGAAGATGAAAATCCACCCCTTTTCCCCCAAGAGTTTCCTCCCACTCACTCTAGCAAAAAATATAGAGAGAGATTCTTCTCTTTCTATTGGAGAATTGTGGCTCTCTGCAAAGCACTGGCTTCTCTCTTCATATTCTTGGGAAATCCTCGTAGTAGTAAGTCTGTACGCCTTGAAACTCCTTCTGCAACTTGTCCTTTCCTTCTTGTGGGTGTGAAATGGGAAGAAAGGACTGAAGAATAGGCAATGCAGAGAGTAATCCGATGCAATTATCTTGGAGGAATCCCTGACTAGGGACAGAGATGCTCCATAAACAATCCCCTGTATTGATATACAGTAGATGGGTGGCTAATGGTTTGGAGAGTGCCAGTTTGGGTGAGTTGCACTCTCTCAGCCTCAGGAAGGCTCTTCTGAACCACTCTGTTGAGGAACAATCCTAGGATCAGTTCAACTTAGGTTGGAAACTGGAAGGCACTTTCAACAGACCTTGATTGGATTGTAGATGGCTTTAGAAGAGTATATCCAACACAACATGTTCCTAAGTGAATACAGGCTGAATATGTAATTTTGGACTTCGGAAGGAGTGACTGGCTCTGCTGATGGGCATCTGGATGCTAGTAAACTTGAGGTGAGGGTTTTCTGGTTTCTTCTTTCCCCCCCAAACTGTGCTGCCGGGGCCTCCCAAGTGGGTATTTTGGGCCTCCCTTTTCCCGCCGGCCTTAATTTGGGTCTAGGTTAATGAGGGGGCTCCCTGGGCGGAATGAGAGGCTTGGCTTAAGCTCCTCCGATTGTGGGCTGCGCTCTGGACTTCAACCTGGGAGGGTCGCCTTGGGAAGCTGCCTTTTAAGGGCCGAAGCCTTAAGGAGGGGTTCAAAGGCAGGAGCTGAAAGGCTGAGTGGGTGGAAACCTGCACTTTGAGAGCCAAAGTGGTTCCCCCCCCCCCCCTTCTTCATCTTCTTTTCAAAGGAATAAGACCTCTCTTGTTCTGATTGATGACCTCACCAGCCTCATGAATTCAACCCCAAACCGTTCAAGCCACCAAAGGACAACTAAGAGCCCTTCCACACCGCCATATAACTCAGAATATCAAGGCAGTAATGCACAATATCTGCTTTGAACTGGGTAATTTGAGTCCACGTTGCCATATAACCGAGTTCAATGTGGATTTTATACAGCTGTGTGGAAGTAGTCTGAATTACACCTTACTGGCACTCTGGCCCCTCTGAACAAACGTCTGAGGATGCTTGCCATAGATGTAGGTGAAACATCGGGAGAGAATGCTACTGGAACATGGCCATACAGCCTGAAAAACTCACAGCAACCCAGTGATTCAAGCCACGAATGCCTTTGACAACACATAGATCCAATCTGGGTTTCTGTAAGTGTTTCCAGGCTGTCTGGCCATGTTCCAGAAGCATTCCCTCCTGACATTCCACCCACATCTATGACAGGTATCCTCAGAGGCTGTGAGGTCTGTTGGAAACTAGGCAAGTGGGTTTACCTATCTATGGAATGTCCAGGGTGGGAGAAAGAACTCTTGTCTGCTTGAGGTAGGTGTGAATGTTGCAATTGGCCACCTTGATTAGTATTGAATGGCCTTGCAGCTTCCTACCTGGGGGAATCCTTTGTTGGGAAGTGTTAGCTGGCCCCGATTGTCTGGAATTCCCTTGTTGCTCTTTATTTACTGTCCTGATTTTAGAGTTTTTAAAATACTGATAGCCAGTTTGTATTCATTTTCATGGTTTCTTCCTTTCTGTTGAACTTGTCCACATGCTTGTGGATTTTTATGGCTTCTCCATGTAGTCTGACATGGTGGTTGTTAGAGTGGTCCAGCATTTCTGCATTCTCAGATAATATGCTGTGTCCAGGTTGGTTCATCAGGTGCTCTGCTATGGCTGACTTTTCTGGTTGAATTGGTCTGCCGTGCCTTTCATGTTCCTTGATTTGGGTTCGCATCCTCTGAGGGTTATTGCCATAGATGTGGGTGAAATGTCAGGAGAGAATGCTACGGGGATATAGCTATACAGCCTGAAAAACCCAGTGATTCTGGCCATGAATGCCTTCGACAACTCATAGATCCAGTCTGTTTGGATTTTTAAATAAACTCTTCAGCAAAAGTGCTCAACTTCTGCTTATGACAGTGTCGTGCAGTGTGACTTTAACTGCTATGTCTCAGTGCTGTAGCATCCCTGGGGCTATATTTTTATATGAGGAGTGCTGATGCTTCCCAGGATAGCCTTGAGCCCTGGCAGTTTATTTTATTTATAGTGTCGGATGTGAATCGAGGGCACAGTTGTAATGTATTTAAAAACACAAACAAAGTTCAAAAGCTTGGCATTATATACCAAATGTCCTTTGAGCAGTAGCTGGCCATTGGGAGAGCCTCTGGTGTTGCTATGAGATGGTCCTCCATTGTGCATGTGGTAGGGCTCAGGCTGCATTGTAATAGGTCAGTGTTTCTCAACCTGGAGGTCACAAGAGGGTTTCAGAGGGGTCGCCATCGACCATCAGAACACATATTTCTGATGGTCTTAGGAACCCCTTTGGCAGAGAAGGCTGAAGATCTCTCTGCCTGTCCTTCTCCCCCTTTTTGGAAACACAGCGAATCCTCCCACCAAAAGCCCTCCTCCACTGTGATTGGCCAGCCTCTCAGCCAGGAGGAAGGATGTTTCTGAGACGGGGGGGGGGGGGGGGTGGTGGGAGAGTAGACGTTCTTGGTGTATGGCAGCATAGTGCACATGTGCGGGGCGAGGGAGAGCGCGTGAGGTTAGAAGGAGGCTTGCCCCAGCAAGTCCCTTCAAGGCATGTGGGTTCTTTGTGGGAAGTTTGGCTCAGTTCTATTGTTGGTGAAGTTCAGAATGCTCTTTCATTTATAGATGAACTATAAATCCCAGCAACTACAACTCCCAAATGTTATGATCTATTTCCCTCCAAACTACACCAG